CGTGTAAACGCTTTGCTTTTAATGTTTTTTGTTGTAATTCAATTTTTTGCCATTGCAACAGCATGCTATTGAAATTACAATTGTTGGCTCGACGCATATCTGAACGCCCACACAATAGCATTTGTTGAACATATTAGTTTCGCCAATTTTGCGCCTCCCATTATCCATATACATACCTACACATATGTATGTATATAGTCAGTTCACTGCACGCCTTTATACATAAATACAATGTGTTTACAAACACATATTTAGAAATATTTTTTTTTTTTGTAACGTACACTTGGAATGTGTTGCAATTGCTGTTGTACTTGAATGCAGCCCCACCCACTAACGTGCTTCTGTACTGGCAAATGATTGCAGGCTGTGGCAAAATATTTACAAATTCATTTAGTTGTTCTAATGTCTTAATTATTATTCAATACCCTACAAGTGGTGAGCATGCAAATGACAAGAAAACTCTGAGTTTACGGAGACTTCTTTGTTCAAATAAGATTTATTTTATAAATTGGTTTTGTAGAAAGGGTGTAGTCTTGCTTCTAGTTTTGTAGTTATATGCAAGTGATCAGTTGTAGAACCATACTAAATCTTCACTTTGGCGAATAAGCCGTACACTTTGCTATGGGGAGAAACTCTTATACAAGATGGCATAGAGTATCGGTTTAAGGTTACACTAAAGCCCTCAGAAACCTTGGTTCAACTGAGACTTCACATCGTGCATGGATCTTGAAGCAAAACAAAACAGTCTAATGAAGAAGGAAAAACAGCATCGGTTGATAATTTTCAAATTGGTGATGTCCATGACAAACTTACAGGAATTTACAGATATCAAGTTCCTTTGAGTAGAAGAAGGAATATCCCTGTTCCATTGGTATTTCGTAGACTTTCCTATAGTCGGTGATAGTTATTTGGTAGATCATCCTATTCGGTAGACGAATACTTTTTAATATGTTGGCATGATCGTTATTTAACAACATCCATTTAGACACTTTCCGCAGTCTTACCGCAGCACAAGCAGCAATGTGCTTATGGGTAGTAGATCCAGTAGGATATTCATAGCCTCAGTTAGTGTGCCCGCAGTTCTTCAATAATACTTGTGAAAGCTATTCCCTGCACTCTTTGGAGCCTACAAGCAGTTGATTTCTTCTCAAATGCAGGATATCAGGCCCTTACTCTGTGGAAAAGTTTAGACGTAACCACTGCAGTGTAAAGCCAGTGCACTAATGGCTCATTTCCGCAGCAAAATGTTTTAAAAATTCTCTTCATTAATTCAGATTAATTTTAAAATAATTAATTTTTTTATAAGGCAAACCATTGCTAAGAGATTGTATTGTATTTTTCGCTGCCTTTCACCAGGCTGGAGAAGTGTTTCCTCTATACGCCAAGTATGCTCTGGACTTGGCCATTAGATTTCCACATTGATTCCTACAGGAATTTGCCCCTTTCTTGAAACCTTCTGGTAGTTGCCGCATCTTTTCATACAATTTTCGAAGATTATCCTAGTCGACCAGCTCTTACTCAAGCCTTTCGACTTCTTTCTTTCTTGTGTACGCAACCGTTTTGCTGTCTTCGTCAGAACTCGATCCCTCCATCGGTGTGTGGGCTAGAAATGGATTGTAGCTAGACGTTCATTCTTTAGAGTAAATGCCAGTACTTGCTGACGCAGTCTCTCTCCCAACACATATCTGACATCAAATTATCGTTCATTTATGTGGACCTACTCGCATCGGTTATGTCAGCCTTTTGTCCTATTAAGACATCAACCAACCGAGCAGCGTCACCTCCCTATTAATCTTCTTTGATATTTTGCTTTGTCTTTTATTGGGGTATATTTTTCGTGTTGTAGGTCCCAAACCCTCGCAAGACTATAGGGGAATTCATCTTTTCAATTTAGCTCACCTCCAATCGGATGTTTGTTCGATACCCAGAGGAAACTTGGTCTAAAACCGGAAGTCGTGAGCTGCTTGAACCATATGCCAAATATTCGTTTCTGGCCTTTCCCAGGTGCATGACAGTCAAAAACTTTGCTCACCTAGAAAATATCTTTTACGGACATTAATAATTTTAATCTTGAAATTCCACGCAGAATCACGTACTATTTTTGATTTGGTAGGCGGTCATCTCACGCTAGACTCCTCACCATTCTGCTAATCAGTGCAAGAGGAACTTGAGAACTTTCGGAGAGAGCACAATAGCGAATCGAATGTGATGGTGAATGTGCTTATGATATATACCAGGGACTTAGAGACAAAAGCCTCCAGTTAAGCCCGTTGGTAGCAAATGTGATTGATGGGATTAACGATTAAAAAATAGTGTTACTTACTCACGTGTTTGCTAATTTCTCAGTAAACGAGTGTGCACAGTATAATAACTAAATTATGCTATTGTAGCTATGTAAGTAGAGTGCATGATTACTCTCCGTTCGATCTATAATTTTTTTTCCAATATATAATAAAAACAGTTAATTACAAACAATTATGGTCAAATAAATTATATATCATACCAATAAATGTTGACAAATTCAACATGCAATGCGCGAAAATTTGCAAAAAAAAAAAAATGTTTAAATTGAAAACTGCAATAGAAAAAATGCAATTGGAGTTGAAAAAATATATTGAAAATAAATAAAGGCACGAAAATAAATGATTTTCGTGTAAACAATCAATTTTCGTAGAAAAGTAAATATAAATGCACTGAATTTATGGCAAATACAAATAGAGTTGATTTTTTGTTATTATTAAGGGTGTTGGTGTGTGTGAGAGGAAAATCTATATAAAAGTGATGACCGCAGAATGAAAAATCCAATTCCGTTTGTGGTTGGTTGTGAGCAATATACTTGGCAAGTTGAAATATTTCTGAGAATTTTTTTCAATAAATACTTTTTTTGCAATCATTTTATTTCGGCTTTTGTTATTGTGATTTTTTGGCAATTGCAATATTTTTTGGCCAAGCAGTGATTGAGCTCATGCAGTAAAATAAATATATTTTAGGTCTAGTAAAAAAAAGAGTCCATTATTTTTGCAATAGGTGGCTTTTGTGATCTGTATCTATCGTTCTACAAGTGCGATCGGATTATGTTAGATGGCGTAAGAAATATGATGTTTTTTACTAAAAAATAATACGGTACAGTGCTGGTCACTCAATTCAGTCGTGTTTGAGCGCATGCCAAAGAAAGTGTGACTGGTTTTTATGGCCCCATTACTGTAGCATTCAATCCTATACAAATTTGGTTTCATGGTATTCGTTCCTATAATTGTGATGTAAAATATGCTCTACGCTGTGGAAGGACAATCGACGAAAATAGCGAAAAAATAATGGAAATCATCAAGTTAGCTCTTTTTCTGTGGTTTAGAAGCTAAGTATGCACAAAATCAGCTTGAAAGCACCTTAAAACGGCTGGTTACACAAAGGAGCTCGATATGGGTGCTACTTGTATTCACAAAAAAAAACTTCACGGAGCGCATGTCGAACTGTAAATCGCTGTTGAATGGTAAACAAATCGAAATTATTACTATAGCAGATGATGACTGGCGATAGGCGACTAGTAATGTCAACGAAAATGGTATTTATCGAAAGCAATGAGCCGGCTGAAATGGACTTCAAGCCAGGATTGACAGCCAGTAAGGTTTTGGTGCGTGTTTATTGGTATTGGCAAGGAATCATATCATCTTTAGTGAGCTGCTTCCCTACGACCAAACTATTATTTCGGACCTGTACCGTTAGCATTCTGTTTCTACATCTTTAGTGAGCTGCTTCCCTACGACCAAACTATTATTTCGGACCTGTACCGTTAGCATTCTGTTTCTACAAAACAATGCTAGACCGCACACATAAATAAAAACACCTTAGAAGTTCTTAGAGCTTGGTGGAGATTGATGATTATCAGCTGTTCTTCTCTATGGCAAATCATTTCCCTAAAAATGGGAAAAAGTTAACGAGCAAAACAATGCATATTTGACATAAATTAAATAATTATTACTATGTTAAGTAAATCCCTAAATTTATTGCAAAAATATTGGATTACTTTTCATTCGACCAATACATACATACATAGTGTTGTATAAGTCTTATTATATTGTTTTCAAACAGTGCGCCTATAAATAGGCTTTTATTTTCATATATATTAATTAAAAATTTTTTTATTTATTAAATTTTTTCTATTCAAATGCGACTACTCCCAATTGTGCGCTTGCTTTTTGATGTTTTCAAAAATTGTAAAAAAAATAATTGCGTTCTGAATGCTTTTTAGCTGCTTTTAATGGTGAATTTCCTCAATTGTTTTCAAGTTTTTTTTAATACGAAAAATATTTTTAGTTGAAAATTGAAAAAAAGTTCTTGGGCTTCTTTCAGCAGTTCCGCATGTAGGACTCTTCACTGTAATTAAGAAGGAAGCATTTGTGGTTGCCATGTTAACTTTGTTACATATTTCCGGAAGAAAAAATAGCCACAAAGTTTTACGGGAAACAGTGAAAATAATACAAAACAGGAAAAATCAATCTCAAAAAGCAGGCGAAAAAGGCCAATATAATATCAAATGACTGTAAATACAAAGCTAAATCAATAGTAAAGAAAAATAAAAATAAAAAATGATTTAAAAAGTTGATGAAAGCTAAGATTTGTAAAGTACACTCATAAACGTGGTTGGTCAACCAAAGTATTATTGTTGTAATAAACCCAAAACAAAATTCAGTAACAATATAATAAAAATACGCTTGTTAAAGTCTGTCAACGTCGCGCTTTGTGCTGTCAAAAATTATTACCTTTTTTTTTCGTAACAACGCTGTTGACATTTCTATTGTAGTTGTTCGCTCGGTGTTTTTGTGGTTTTACTTCAGCAATCACAATTAAACTTGAATTTCTTTATTTTATATTTTTATGTAGAATAAAAGATTTGAATAACAACTTTTCATTCATTTTTTTTTTTTATTCATCCAACCCCACCGACATGTGTGCCTAAATGCCATAAAATTCACAACGCTATGCGCCACAATAACAAATAGCTCAAGCATAACGCAACTTACATAAAATTCTGTGAAATAGTGAAAAGTAAAAAATAACAATCTACATACATCCATACGTATATACCTATATACGAAATAGACGCGTTGGTTGAAATACGAAATTTCTACGGAAACGGAACTAAAAATGGCTTTAAATGGCAGTCGTCGGTCCCAGGCGTTCAACGCATTTTTAATTGTCGCCTTAGCGTTGTCGTCAACTCTGCTCATGCACGTAGTTCAGGCACAGGAACCGCGACGTGACGATAAAGTGAGTTTTTATTTTATATATTTTTTTGCTGTGATATTTTAAAAATTTCAGAAATATTAGAAACAATTTAAGTAAAGCATATATCTCTAATCAAAATGCTATATTTGTAAAGTTGTTAGAATTTTATTTAAATTTTGAATGTTACAAAAAAAAAATTGTAATAATTATTGATTGTTTATATTTACGCATATACATACATATTTACAGTGGCCTCCACCAGCGGTGCTCAAAATGGCAAAAATATTCCACGATATTTGTGTTGAGAAAACTGGCGTAAGTGAAGGTGAGTGAACACATGTACATGCAGAAGAGTTTGTGCAAAACGGTTTTGTGTAACAACAACTTTTGGGTTCTTGTTAGCAGTTTTCTCTTGTAAGAACACGAAATTTTGATAATGTAGAAAATTTACCGGAAAATTATTTACTTTTACCTTTTGAATATATATATTATTTGACTTCAAATGCTTGAAAATTATTATAGTCAAATTGCAGTTCCTTTATTACTATACGGATGATTTATTTCTTTAACGTGAATAAATTCAGTTTGCTTTTTTCTTTTATTTTTATTTTACTTTATTAAGGGACACACCTAGTGTAATGGCCTAAAAAAAGGTGATTTTTGGAAATTTTTATTAAAAAAATACTTTATCAATTATTTCAAAATTTTAGGAACATATTTATACATGTTTCAAGAATATACAGTAAAATTTTTGAAGAAAAAATTAAATATTTTTTAAGTTATAGTCAATCTCCAACGGCGCGAAAAAAAGGTCCCTCACTGCTGCAGTGATTCCGGCTTTCTCCGTGGATGAAATCTAAAACAAAAATTCTCGATAAGATAAAATTGTCTGTACAATGACTTACGATAAAAAAAAATTAAAAATTGACAATATGGCGGCGTTTTAAAAAAAATAGTCGAATTTTTACCCAAAATTTTGGTTGTTTTTGGCCTGCCAAAATTCAAATTTTTGATCAGATTAGAAATCGATAGGTCATTGTACGGAGAACTATGTATAGAACATGTAAAAAAAAATTCGATAGTGATCGGGTCCTGTGTTTTTGAGTAAACACTGCAGCGAATTCGGAAAATGCTGTTTCGAGAAAAAGGCGTTTAAAAATGATCGTTTTCACTCGTAGCTAATGAGACTCTCTAGCTGCCGAGTGGCTGCTCTACAAATTGCTATAACTCAAAAACTATTTGAGATATCGATTTGAAATTTTAATATGTCATTTTTAAAGCTGTATTCTACCGAAATATGGAAAAAAGATGGATTAATGGATTTGAAAATTTCACACTGGGTTTGCCCCTTAAGTTTATTATATTTTATTTAATCTCTTATTTTTTTATAATTTATATTTATATTTTTTTGTCTGTTGCAATATACTTCAAACTCACATTTTTTATTTTAGTTTATTCTTTAATTCCTTATAAATGTTTTTATTTTATTTCAGTTTATTTTAATTAATTTAATTTTATTTTAAGTAATAAATTTATTTTTTTCATTTTATTCAACTTTATTATATTTTGTTTTAATTCATTGAAGTTTATTAAGTCTTTCATACTATAATTTAATTTTTTCATATTTTTATTTTTTTATTTTTTATAATCAATAGCAATATTTATATTGTCTTCTATTCAATATACTTTTGTTTATTTTTTTTTTTTAATTTACGTTTATGTTTAATACTTTGCAATTTTTTTATTTCATTTCACTTTATTTTATTTAATTTTACTTTATTTTAAGCAATTATTTTATTTATTTTTTTCATTTTATTTTACTGCATTTAAGTTTATTAGGCATTTTATATTATATTTTATTTTTAGATTCTTTTAAAATTTTTTAAAATTAATAGCATTATTTATAATGTCTTCGATTCAATATATTTATGTTCATCGCTTTTTTTTACTTTAGTTTATATTTTACTGTTTTAAAACTTTTTAATTTCAGTTTATTTCATTTTACGTAATTCAATTTAATTTTTTTCATGTTATTTGTCTTTATTTTATTTTATTTATCATCATTTTATTTTACTTAATTTAATTTTTTTTCAATTTATTTTATTTAAGTTAATTTGATTTTACTTAATTACACTTTGTTATAAATTTGTGGTGAGCTAAAGCCTGATTGCTTGTATGAATTGAATCTTTTTGTTAAACAACAAAGAAAAATGGTTCAAGTGGGAGCTGCTTCGGAGACCACCACATCTCCTCATCAGACTTCTTATGGCAGGAATCGAATTAACGGATTCTGATTTAGTGCTCTACCACTGCGCCGAGATAAGCCATGTAATGTTTTGTTGTATAATTCAATTCATTGACCGACAGCTATTAAAACCGCTATTTTCTTTATAGCGTGGTTAGTGAGTTGCTTTGTAATCCTGTATTCTTTCAGGCGATTTAATTTTTTTTGCATTTTTTTATTATGCAATATATTTTATTAACTATCAGTTTAATTTAATTTACTCAATTTTATTATTTTGGTTTTTTCCAGTTATGCTGTTTTATTTGCACTTTTTGCGGCACTTGGGGTTGTATGCCAGGAATAATGTGCCAAATGTTTTTTTCTAATGCGTCTATTGTCTCGGACTTGTCTGCGTGGACAAGCGACTTTACATAACCTCACTAAAAATAATTCAGCCGTGTTAAATCACACAAGCTTTGAGTCAACGCCACAGGCCCACGACGCGAGATACTAAAAGTTGTCTTCAATAAATTTATTGTTTCGATGGCTGTATGGCATGTAGCGTCGTTTTGTAGGCACCATAGATAGTTCTCAGCAACATTATTCGATTCGAGCACGAAAAAGTTATTAATAATGATTTGAGGCACTCCTTATAGACCGTAACGTAATCTGTTTTCATTTTGAAGAAATATGGACCAATCCATCCCATTGCGCATAGAGTGCCTTTTTGAGGATTCTCAACAATATCTATGGAAATTACTATCACTCCAAACGAGAGATTTTAGTTCATTGACGTACCCATTTCTGCAAAAGTAAGCTTTATCGTTGAACAAAATGTTCTTGCAAAAATGAGGATCTATAGGATATTTTATAAAGTAGATGAGCACGGATGTATTCATTCCGTTCCTCTTTGACAATCTGCTCAACAGACGTTTTCTGCGATTTTAGTAATATATCATGCTTGAACTATTTTTGAAGGTTGTTTGGGATGAACAGACTTTGTATAAATCAAATAACGATTAATTCTGAAAAAATAATATCTTTATTGAAAACCACACATCTACAAAACCAGACTGTGATTCAGGATTACCCATTTAGTGGATTCGAAGATAAGCTGAAATGAAATTCATTTAAAATACATTTTTTCATTCCGCTTTCCTACTTTAACATAAAATTAAAGTTAAAATTCTCTGCGATTTTTGCCGTTTGCCCCTCACGTTAACTTAAGTGTTTTCGGGTTTTCTAATAATATCTCTTGATGATGCGTACTGGTACTCAGAAGGCTATTTTTGAGATCTGGCCCGCTCGACATTCAAAAATGGAAGACAAATAATTAAAATAAGTTAAATAGTTAAGTTACTTTGCTCGAGGAGTGTAGATCACAGCATGTCTTGTTTGAATAGAATTGTTGAGCTGAAAGCTTTAAGGATTTTGTATAGCCGTAAAAAGATCACGGAATGTTGGCCACGATGAATTGTCACCTTGGAATATCTCAGTATCGCACGGAGGTGGTTGAATATTGCAGTCCCGTGAATGAATGTCTTAGCTTTGTTTGTGCGCCTTCTCTCACTTATCAATAAAGTGCTCATAGATTCCATGCATCGATTGTAAATCTGATAACAACCCTTATATTTCTTTTTTATCGTCGATAAGTCTTGGGCCGAAACTGGTCCGTAGACACTTAGAATTCATCATATGAACGTTTTACCTTTTCCCACAGTGCCCGAAATTCTTCTTGATGAATTTTCAACGAATATTTTGACATATATGATGAAGATATGCTGTTGTAATCAGATTTAAACTGCGAGACTGTCTCAACTAGGCGAATAAAAATATCAATTTGTGACATTGCGAAATTATTCTATATATATGTATGTACTTATGTATATGTACTTGCAGCGAATGCCGATGAAAGTGAAAAAGTTGAGCAGAAAAAAGACACAGTGATTTGAACGAATGTCTATCGTGAATTAAAATAACTATCAATCAGATCAATTTCGATACACCAGTAAAGCAATGAATAAAATACTCTGAGAAAAATTAGTTTTGTGAAGATAATTTATTTTAATATAAAATTGCCCACATAAAGTGGTTTAATATACGTATGGATATATGTATGTGTATGTGTGAGAGCGACTCGCCATCCAATAATAAAATATGCAAAAATGATGTGGTATATGAATGTGCGTATATGTATGCCAATAGTTATGAATAATTAAATGTCTAAATGTTTTTTTTTCTTTTAAATAACTTGAATTGGTTAAAAACACGGTGTGTCCCAAAAATAACCGAACTTTTTGGATATAAAATAAAATACACATTATATTATCTTTAGAAGTTATTATTTATTCAAAATAGTTTCCATTTGACTCAACACAACGTTCTTCAGTACCTCGGTTACGGCTGCCTGAATGGCTGGGATATCATCATAAAATGCTCCCTTCATCTTGGTTTTCAGTTTTGGAAATAAAAAATAGACACATGGTGATAGATCAGGCGAATACGGAGGATGGTCGATGAGAGAAATCCTATTTTTCATAAAAAATTCGAGCGATTTTTTGGTCGTCATTTAATTCATGTGGAACAAATCGCTCACAGACCTTTCTTTTCCCCAAATCTTCAGTTATAATTCTCCAAATAGTGATGGTTCTGAAAGTAGACTCCGGTAGTGTTGGTTCTGTATGATGAGAATTATATGTTAAATTGCCTCACCGGTGTATATATGTATGCGTGAAAATAGATCAATGAAATACAAGATTAATTTTATGCCTTTATTGTAGACTCTTTACTAAATTAGAATATTCGGTTACCTGTACAATAATCTGTGATTTTTGATGAGGTTGTTGGCTGGTGGTTTTCTATGTAGAACACGTCCGTTGGCCTTTACTGGTATAATCGCAATGCTCAGTAATAAAATTAAGTTTGCACCGAACGGCGTCAATCGATAAACCGTAATTCATGTTTTGTGATATTTAACGAAAGATATCGTAGTGGTAAATAGAAATACTAGGGTGGTACCATAAGGAGGGGTAATTTAGGCTTTTGGCCTAAACAGATTTTATTTGTAATTTTTGGTATAATTTTGTCTGAGTATTTTAAGATTATTGGAGACCTAAGCACTTCGTATAGTGCTGTAGGAAATGTATCGACTTTCAAAGTATTCCAGTTTGCCGACTAGTTTTTCAACATGAAGGTGTTCTTGGATATTTGCGTTGTCTAATCGCTTCAAAGTCATAGTGAATAGTCCTTTAATATATCAGCATCATACTGGTTTCTTTTTCACTTGTAATAATGCTGAATTTTTTTTAACTATTACCAATGGCTTCCTCACCTCTCCCCCATCCACACTGGGAGCGTAGTCCTCAAGACGTACGTAATCTTTATTTTTATTGGTACCGAGTTACGAGTAACCAAGAGTTTTCTTAGTGCTGTGAAATAAATAAAAACGTTCAGCTACAGAACAAGAGTTCAAGCCAAATCAAGCTGATTTTAAAAATGGAAATAAATTTCTAAAATTCAATATATGCTTCTGCTGACTGTTTCTTTCTTTTAATTGTTTCGATACAAATACTTTCTTCATACATTTTTTTTTCATTTTCTTTTTTCATTCACCCAGAGGCTATTAAAGAATTCAGTGATGGTCAAATACACGATGACGAGGCTTTAAAATGCTACATGAATTGCTTGTTCCACGAAATCGATGTGGTGGATGATAATGGTGATGTACACTTGGAAACACTATACAATACGGTACCGGGTACTGTACGTGACAAATTAATAAACATGGCAAAGGGATGTGAGCATCCGGAAGGTGATACGCTATGTCATAAAGCCTGGTGGTTCCATCAGTGCTGGAAGAAAGCTGATCCTGTGGTGAGTATTTTTATATCACAAAAATATTGTGATTGATTTAATTTTGTCATATTCTTCTTATTCTCTTCTTTATAGCACTACTTCCTACCTTAAATTATTGGCGTTTCCTATGATGTTACCTAAAGCGAGTTTTACGGTATGCGAAGCGTATTGACTAAAAGCCCATTATTTGATGCGTATTGACGAACACAATCTTAAAAAAAAATGGTTCTGTGGATATTCATATTTTTTTATTTAGGGATTTTTATTTAATTTAGAGAAAATTTTAAGTTAAATTAAAGCATTATAAAAAGGTATGTAACGATTTCTGGAGAAGCTTTTATTTTTTTTGCTAGCAAAAATGGATATTACTATTGTCGAATGGATATCTTAGTTAACGAAGAATCAATAGATCAAAGAAAATAAGAACAAGTAAAAAATTGCCGAAGCCTTGACGAGGCATAATAATTTCAAAAGTGTAATGAAGAGAAGAAATGGGAGAAAGAGAAGCTCTGCAAAAAAATTATATTTTCTCGTTCGCCTTCTTCACAATTATTGACTGCAGTTTTTTGATTTTAATCTTATAATTCCTTCGTATTGTTTGTAGATTTAATAAGTTGATCTTTGCGTTTCCATTAGACGCGTTTCTAGGTGGCGGATAAGAGAAATCTCTACAGATATTTCAGGTAAGTGGGAAATAAAAGACTGAACAATGCAGTTAAGAGAAGTGTATCAATGAAGACTAGCCATCTTTTTGGGTGAAAGGTAGTTCCAAAATTATTAATGGAAGCTACAAACGACAGACTTGTAAAAGACATTAACCAATCCATCACAATAATTAGAAATAAGTACATATCTATTAGAAATCTAAATGAATTAAAGTTAGAAGTGGTAAGCGAGCTCCCCGCCGAAGCAACACCCTGACCTACGGAAGAAATGGACGAGATTATCACACCCAGCCAACAATACCTAACAGAGAAAAATTAGAAGCGTTAAAAATTGAATTTTTAGCTGCAATGGTGGAGTTTGCTGGAACAGAGCCAATACTACGCCGAGCTGTACCTTAACAAAAGGCATCTTAAACTGTGAAATAGCAGAGTCCTTAGTAAACAAGGACATCTTTTTGTCTTTGTGTGCTAGAACTTTAAAAGAACTGCAAACGGCAATATATTTAGCAGCCGCAGCAGTTACTCGTTACACTGGTGGTTAGTTATGCTTCGGATCGCAAAGGTAACTGAAAATTCTTGGAAGCATAGATCAAAGGCACAAATTCGAAAGTTTAGAATGGAGCTGGGAAGATTAACCCAGTTTATCCGCGGTAATCATTCATAGAAAATATTGAGTTGGTATGAATGCCTTAAAGAAGAATATAAATTACAATCGAAACAAGACCCACAAAACATATATGCTAAAGAGCTCTTGGACCCATTACGCCAAAACCTAGGCATTAAATCTAACCGTTTAGGAAGGTATACCAAATCTGAAAAACGAAGAACAGCTCAATGAATTATAAAAAATTTATAAACTAATTATTAATAATAAAGTTTATTCCAAATAATATGAAATAAATGTGAAGTAAAACACTCACCAAGGTGAAAAAGAATCCCGCTTTTAATCTCTACGAAAGTCCTGAAACTATTCATCATATTACAAAAGCATGGGCCCAACAAGTGGTTACCGAATACCTGAAAAAGGCATAACCACGTCACTAAAATCGCGTATCAATGCTTGACCCTCAGATACAGTTTAATTATGGAGGAATGTTCGTATTTCAAATACAACCCACCAATAATATTAGACAATATTTAAAACCGAAGTTTGCTGGGATCGCTCCAAATTGACGTATAATTCCTCTCCACACAAAAGATGGGACATACTTAACTGTAATCGAAAAGGAATTAACATAGGGGTACCAAAAACTCACGATCTACAGCAATGCTTCGCAGAAAGGAGTAGAAAATATCACATCTTAGTCCACGAAATCAAGGATATGGGAAACTGAAAAAAGTGGAGATAATTCAAGTTATTTCGTCGTCTAAGATATTCGGAAACTTTTGAGCATAGATTAAAAGCGAAATAAAATGATTAAAAAAAATTTAAAAGAAATGAAATGAAACTAATTATATAAAAAAAAAATTAAAAATTTTTTTTTAAATAAATTAAACTAAAATAAAAATATTAATAACAAAATAAAAAATGTGGAGAAAAAAAAAATTATATAAAAGAATTAAATAAAAAAGGAAAAAAATTAGAGAAAAAAAAAATTAATATAAAAAAAATGAAATGAAAAAGGAAAAAATTAAAGATTTTAAATAATATTAAAAAAAAATTAAAAAAAAAGTAAAATAAATTTAAAAAAATAAGTTCATACGAACAAATAAGCCTTTAACTCTCTAAACTTATAACTTAAATTAATATATATATATATATGTATAGTATATATGTCAATTAACGCCTGAAAGTATACCGGATTACAAAGCAACTGCCTAACCACGCTATTAATAAAATATCTGCTAAATTAGCGCACTTAATAGTTGTTGGTTAATAAGGAATTGAATAATACAACAACAGGTTATACATGGTTAATCTTGGCGCAATGGTAGATCACTTGCCTGTCAGTGGTGTCTGATGAGGAGTTGTGGTGATCTCCGGAACAGCTGTGCCTTCCATAATTTTCCTTTGCTATATAAACTATAACTAAAACTAATTGTACATACCGCAAAACAAAATAAAAAAAATTTAAATTGAATTAAATTAACAAAATAAAATAAGGGGAAAAAAATTGAAATAAAATAAAAAAAATTAAAATAAAATAGATAAGAGCATTCTTCCTTGCCCTTATAAATAAATTTATTGAACCGACCTGCATGTAGCAAGTAATCTAAAATGTTGAAAATAAATCTTTATCTCAAGAACTTGATGTGTTTTAATGTGTCCCCAACTTTGAGAAGTTGTCTACTGAGAGATGTGGCTAATACGACGCTTCTTCGGTATCAAATCATGGCATTTCTGCTTCTTTTCTTTCAAGCGGTTTTCTGTCACCGCTGTACTGGGCACCTACGATGAAAAGACGCTTTGTACTGATTTCAAACTGCTACCATCAACGGAGCTGATTGATGGCGTGCCTTTCCAAACTCCTTTCGTACTTCTTCTTTTCTTTGTCAATGATACCTTTCATCAACTAATTCTTATATTGAATCATAGAATTCCTTGTTGTGATGTCATAATTTTTTTCGATGCTGTTGCTTCTCCCTGGCTTAGAGTTGGATGAATTTTCACGAGATAGACCCTTTAACTCATTTGTTATTTCGCTTAGATTTTTTGTCTGCCGTCGGTTGAGATGAAAGAGGTTTGACGGCCTTTACTGAAAGAGCTACCTCACTCGCTGTGTCAGAGTCTTCACCAAAGAGATCGTATTTGAGTGAGCGCTTCTTCAACCTTCATATCACCTTTTGGTTCCACTGGTATTTTTGTTAGAAGATAAAGTCCCAGACTCAGTGTATTGGTTGAGTTTTATGGGATTTTTTAATGGTGTTACTTCATTTTTGGTGCCTTAAGATGTGCTGGATATGACATGGGATTCGTTGAAGATTTGGTCTTATGCAGGGCCAAAACTGATGCTTAGTCTAAGACTGTGAAGCGCCTCTAGCTCTTTGCAACTGAACTCTTTCCATGAATTTGAAGAGCCACGTATACCACAGCTTGCCCGAATCGATTAAGACCAGTACACACACTCACCATACCCGTTGGAGTGAGGACTGATGTGAATGTAGAACTTTTAGCGGGTGCTTTCATCCGCCTGGTGACCTTTGTGCTGTTTGTTGCGTCTTCTAGATTCTGAGCGTTTTTCGTTCGGTGCTTGGTGTGGCCAGGGACTCTGGTGTTTGCCTTCTGACTGCGGGAGAAAATAAGGTTCTTGCTTCAATTCTAATCTAGAGGTGACAGGAGAACCTAAAGTAACTGTGTAGCTTCTGACACGTTAGCTTTGACTTTTGTCACTGACCTTGCCGCTTACTTTTATGGCTTTGGTAGTGGCCTTGCCGCCCTGATCATTTCAGCTTCTAAGCTTGGCGCTTACCTTTTTCTACACTGCGCGCGCTACCGCTTAACCGCGCGTCTTGCCGCTTACACTGCCTGCCTTGCCGCTCTCACCACTAGAACTGCGCGCTTTTCTTTTCATCATTTATTTTTCATTATTATTCACTCCCTATTTCTCTACTTGTTATTTTTTCATTATCTTTAACTTTTTTTCGTAAAATTTTTACCTTTTTTATATTTTTTCCAATACTTTCCTCTTATTTTTTCTTCCAATTTTTCACTTATTTTTCGATTTTTTTATATTTCTTCCATTTTTAAATTCTTTTTTATTTTCTCTATTTTTTGTTTTTTTTTATATTTTATATTTTTTATTTTTTTCTTAAATATTTGCCCTATTTCTATATAGTTCTCCAATATGTTTTCTTTTCTTTACATTACGTTTTATACCTTTTTTAGGACTTTCTTTATTCGGTGGCCCGAATTACTCTTGAATTGTCGCAATGAGAATCGGGAGAGGTGAATCCTTCAGAAAGCTGAAAAAGCACCTACTTTTGTGCCTTTAAGGGCTCAATTAAAAAGCTTCAAAATTTAATTACAAATTATTGAAAGCATGAGGTTCTACTGAAATATTCGTAAAAGCTAAATAAAGAGAAAGGAAAAATACTCACTTCATATGTTGCTGTTGAATCAAAAAGAAGAAGTTAAATTCGGCAACATTGATCTTTCAAAAATTTCCACATAAGGTGTAAGTCCCAAACGGGGCTAATTGGACACTTCTCATAAATTTAAAGAGTCATCTATACCAGAACAAAATAAAGCAGCGATCTTTCTAGTTGGATGTTACGACTGTTGTACAGGGCTGCACCCCAACCAGAAAGAGACGAAAAGAAGAACTATAATTAATGATTATTAAGTTAAATTGATCCGGGTACGGTTAACGTGACCACCTGTTTATCTGTGTGTCCATGTGTTTGAATGCATATTGATCATTTGTCGAAACCGTATAGTTTGGTGGACTATATCCTTAAGGTCCCTTGTAAAAAATTTGCTCATATCCATAATTTTGCGTCATAAATACTTCAACAAAGAATTGGAAAAAAAATTTATGTTGGCACCAGCAAATTATTCGGCCAGAAATACGTTCTCAGTGATAGCTTTGTTAGAAGGTGCAAAAAAAAAAAATTTCTTCCACACATTTGGCTTTATTCAGGCATTTGCTTTATCGAACATGGCATAACTTTCAGGTAGTGAAAATAGGAAAATTTTTTGGCAGTGACAGTTGTCCTATCTCTCATTTTAACTTCAGTTGACGACGATGATCGCTCGCTGGATCAAGTCTACTTTCGGTCGATTCTTCGAATCAAAACGTGAACCGCTTTGGCTTTCAATATCACGAATCGTTTA